GTTCACCTGTAACAGAATGTAGCCAGTCATCACAATCAGGTACAGGTAAAGTTACCTACAGTTTCAGTATAAATAGAAAAATTTTATGACCATCTATGTCAGCATCTGAATGTGTCAAAAAAAGCTAAAAATATTATGGATTTCAAAATCACTCCCTAATTCAGATGTTGCTATATTGAACAGTTTCGAATCTGTTTGTGACATTGAACCATTGGAATGATCATATACATGTACACATGCAGCTTAAACATTTCCTTTCTGAGTGAACTCAGTTTACATCTATTTCCTACATTCAGAACAAGGTTAAAATATCAACAATAAGACCTTGACCCAATCCTCAGGTTTGACGTTGGGAACGGTGACTTCTATTGTGGGTTTGTCTAGAAGTGTGACGACTGCTGGTTTGTCGGGTTGACTTGACGTACTGATCGAAATCGGCACCATCCAGGAGAAAGAGCCGTCTAAAATACAGGAACAGAAAAAATATTGAGCTTCTCTAAGAAATTAAATGTAAAGTTTGCTTGTGTAAAGGAAAACTTCAGATTTAGGCATTGCATTTTCCCCCTTCTTTTTGACTGTTCATGACTATAACTTCCTTTGTATCAAATTCATGCTCTCTGTTTTAAATAGAGAAGCAAGACATGTGTTTGAGTGTAGTTAGTTTTATATTATTAACTTGTACATTGTGCATGTACATTTTGCATTTCAGTGATTTTTGATGAAATATTTAATGGCTAACATCCACAAATATATATATACAGGTAATTGGGATAATTCAGATTTCCACAAACTTATTTTTTTTTTTTACACTTTCAACACAATATGTACACGTACCTTTAGGTTGTACTCCATCAGCACAGAACTTTTCCTGTGTCAAGGTCAGAACTCGGCTGTTGCCATCTTGCTTCTCACTAACCTGTGATAAACATTTCTGTATCATTCTCCAGCATATTCAACACTAATACATGTTCATATATGATTATGCAACCAAATTTTTAAATATTAAATTCAAAATATTTTAGATGTTATACTATTACATTTTGTTTTTTATTCTCCAAAGTTAGAAAAACTCGTTATGAATTTAGTGTATTCTGCTCAAAATTTATCTAGAAGATAGTCCCTAATCAATGTAAGCCTAAGACATTGAAAGGAAAAATTCCACTTGCTAGGAACATGTGATAATTTTTTCATACAATTTCAAGATATTAAAATTTGTTACTCTTGGTACATAATTTAAATTTCAAAGAAATGAGGATACTGTGTCCTTGCCTTGACTACTGGGTAACCCATTTGTTTGGTCCAAGTTGTCATGACGTCCAGCACGGGTTTCCCGCTGGCTTTTCCTAGGGATTCCCACAGATCCTCTGTTATGGCATTATTATACTTAAATTTGGTCAGGTATTGGTTCATTCCTTTCCTAAAGCTCTATAACAGACCAAAAACATCTACCTCATACAAATTAAATAGAGTTAGAAAAATATTCTCATAGATGTTCATCTATTATTTTACATTTGAAAGCAAAGAAGAGAGATAAAAATTTACAGATGCTTGTGAGGAAAGATAACACCAACAAAGTCATATTTTAATAACAAACCTGTCTTAAAGAAACTCTTATATTTGGTCTACTTTTTTTTGCCCTTTACACTTTTTCAAAATGCAACTCCAGTTGTTTTCCTTTACTAATGCATGGTGTTGCTACTTTCCCTATCCTACACGTAAATATAAAAAAGCCCACAGCTTGATAAATTCCACTGATCTCTGAACTCACTTCATCTCCGATGTAGTTGTGTAACATTCTGATCACAGACGCCCCCTTACTGTAGGAGATGGCATCAAAAATCTCATCTACCTCGTCTGGATGTCCAACTGGAATCTGAATAAAATGACATTGTCAAACAACAGACAGCAAATTAGGTCAATATAAATGCAAGCTGAATAAAGACATGCTCTCTTACCTGTGTTTATCAGTTTATCTATTCTTTAATAGGAATGACAAATACATTTAACTATTAAAATTGGATTTAGATTTGTATGTTTTGTATTATCCGCAACGTCATACTGTCCCAGTCAGATGACTAAACGCACCTCTAATTCTGAAGAGTTCCCTAATACTATTATAGAAATAAAACGTATTGTAATTTGTGTTATGGGGCTCAAATTCAATGGTACCCCAAACATACCCCCTCACACCCAGATTTGCATATCCCTTACATATCCTACACATGAAACTGTTAAATTAGCGTTAAGCTGGTTCCCTGACCTCTATGGCATGGCTGTTATGTAGAGCGTCCATCTCCAGGGCCCTGCCTAAGTCCTGGTTGACAAACTGTGTCCAGATATCAAACTCAGGGAAGCAGTAGTCCACACACAGGTACTCAATCCAGGACGCAAATCCCTCGTTAAGCCATAAGTGTGTCCACCATTCCTATCAACAGGAAGGAATACATCAATAATTAGGGTACATTTATACATGTTTACATAAAATTTTTATTTTCCGATTCCAGCTAATTTCCAACTACCAATACATTTGTTCATCTTAATTTCTGATGGAATTCAATAGATGTAGGGGGGAAACAATACATCAATAATTAGGATTTACTTACAAAAATGTTTAGTTTTCTACTTCAGCTGATTTCTAGCTAAATCTTGAATTATTGATTTCTGGTAGAATTTAATAGATACCGTATATGTGCAAATTTTAGTGAGACACAAATTTAGCGATTTGTTCTTAAAAAAGCTATTACAGATAAAGCGCAATTAATTTTTAGTGATATTCAATTTAAGCGATCTTAGCACCCTCGCTAATGCCAAAATTAAATCCTCACTAAAATTTCTGCTTATACACTATATATATGGCCATTCAATATTTTTTTTTTGTGTTGAGCATAAACCTAGGGATCTGGACACAAACTGAGTGGATTAATAATAATTAATGTTCTCATTTAATAACATTTTGAATTCATTTAACTTCTTCCAGTGTTTGGTGTCAGGTGAATTGTAGTTGAACATGGCAGAGGTATTTAATCACACTTTAAATTTTAATCTAAAATCAAATAATTCAAATTTCAAAATCATCTCGCTCAATACCTTCAGCTTCCCTCTAAATTCTATGCTAGAGAATAAACTGGATCATAATCAAGAATATGCTTGTACGTGGACTCCTGAGCAAGAGCTTTTTACCATAGTGACTAGACTTTACCATAATGACTAAATCTTACCATAGTGTCTAGATTTTACCATAGTGTCTACATTTTACCATAGTGACTAGATTTTACCATTATGACTAGATTTAACCATTATGACTAGATTTTTACCATAGTGACTAGATTTCCGAACCACTGATGAGCCAGCTCATGCCCCACCACTAGAGCCACCCACTGCTTGGTTTTGGAGGAGGAGTTCTTAGGATCAATCAACAGAGCTGTCTCCCTGTACGTCACCAGTCCCCAGTTCTCCATGGCACCTATAAACAAGACATATCAGATGAAATCTCAAAACTTGAAACATCAAAGAATATATGTACAATGAGAAGCTTTTTTTACTTACCGTTTTATATTGGAATGAGCCATAAAATGGTTTTCTTTTTCAGTGGCACCAATACTTATGACATGTCTTGTTACATAAGATAACGTAAATCAGGTGAATATTAATTTCTAAAACAGCAGTATAAATTATTTTTATACCACAGTCCAAGTCAAAAACTTTACCTGCAGCGAAATCAGCGATAGCAATGAGATCTATTTTTGGTAGGGGATACGCAATCTGAAAGTAGTTCTTGTAAAACGGAAGAGTCTTCACAGCCACCTCCAGGGCAAACTGTCCCTGTTCCTTCTTCCCCACGGGGGTGTAGACTCGGACCAGCACCCCGTCAGCGTCCTTATCCTCCACGTAATCGTACTCCCCAACGACGAACGCCAGAAGGTATGTAGACATGATGGGGGTCCGTTCGTAGGAGACTACCTTCCACGTGGTGTCTTCAGGTAAATCACTCTCTGATTTTACTGGCTGGAAAAAAAAAAATAACATTGATAAGTAACGTTCCATGTTAACAAAGAGAAAACCATTAATCATAAACTATTATGATAATAATCTAGGGCATTCAAATGTAGCTCATTTTTATGTCATGTTCAATTCCTACACCCAATAGATTTACACGTACTAACATTTTCATGTCTCAACAAAGTCTTGACTGCAGATCAAATATAAATAAACACACTCTGATTAAAGTCAAACCTTCAATAACTCCTTTTTAACATTAATATATAGTTTAAAAGTGGGAAGGGAGAGAAATCTGTCAATGATTAAAAATCAAAAGCTGCAGATTTTGAAAGCCATACTCTTCCAATTTTACAATGGATATCTTCATTTCATGATGGTGGTTTTTAAATTCTTAACTACTGCATGTTCCTACCATATTAGAGAGAGCCACTCTATTTTTAGGAGCTACCAGGGTGACATCAAATGTGGCCTTGACGGCTGGTTCATCCCAGCACGGGAACGCCCGACGAGCATCTGTTGCCTGTAAATTATTTATAAAAGGTTTTAGAACATGTACATATACAGTCTGTAATAAAGAATTTATACCTGAAGTCATTTCTTAATTTATACAAGAACCTTATTCTTAAGATACAGTAAAATTTGTCCAATTCACCAATGGTTCCAAAGAATTTGGCCAGATAAGACAATATTTGGGATTAGACAATGTTTTAGTCAATAGAATTTACTGAAAGGGGGCCTAAAGTTGACATCGTATTTGACAAGACTTTGGACTAAACAACTTCTTGATTTTTCACTGTATTTTGTTCAATTTTAAAATTACTGACCTCAAACTGTGTGACCGCTGCGTACATCTCCTCCCCGGAGGGTGAGGTGTACTTGCTTCTGTAGAACCCCTTCATCTTGTCATTTAGCTGACCAGTGAAATCAATGGACAGTTGACCACTTCCTGGCTATAAATCAAAGAGAGAGAATGGTAAACATATTAATATATTTGACTGGCCTTTTAATTTTCAAAACAACTGTGATGTACCATTAAGAAATCATATGAGATGCTTAGCAAATTGTAAAGTACTCAAAGTTTGATAAATTACATATTATATATGGTTGTCCTTTTGTTACTTAAATAGTTAAGGAAGTAATGAGATGCAGGCCTGCCCCGACAAATTGTTTTTCCAATTCAAAGTCCTCACAAAGATACCAATATTTCAAACCTCACAAAATATTGTAAAATGTTTGCGTCACCTGCAGAATATACCACACCTACCTGGAGAGGACTGGGGAACGATAACACAACCACTCCATTCTCTGGTTCAAATTTCACCTCTGCTTTCACACTCTGGTCTCCTGCATCTAAACAGTTCAGAGGAATAGTTATCAGGATGTTATTTGGTCATCTATACCCATACCTGCCAACTTATCTTGATTTTTCTTGCCATAGAAATAATCATATAAATAATATTCAACAACTTTTCTGTTTTGGACAACAGAGAAATTTTGGGCAAGGGGGAGACTGAATATAAATGTGAAATAGTTAAGACTTATTTACATATAGTACTACAGTTGACCATTGTTTTTTCAAACACCAGTACCTCAAATACCAAGAGATATGTCAAAGTGATATGGAAGTTCCTAGCACTTTTAAAAACAAGAGATGTTTGTAAAACACTTATGCCCCCCTCCTCCCAAATTGGAATTTTTTTAAGTCCAAAAGGGCATAATTCTGTCTAAAATGGTGCGATCCTACCCAAAACATTTCTTGACCTAGATATTCAGCTGAAAAATCTGTATACTAAATTTCATTTCAATATGTGCAACCTCTGCAAAGAAAGGAATGGAAACTGCAATTAAGTGGAATTTCTAAGTAAAAGGGGCATAACTCTAACAAAAAGGATGCGATCGTACCCAAAACACTTCTTGACCTAGATATTTATCTGATATATCCATTTCAAATATGTGCAACCTCTGCAAAGAAAATGAACGGAAACTGCAAATAAGTGGAATTTTTCTAAGTCCAAGGGGCATAACTCTAACAAAAAGGAAGCGATTGTACTCAAAACAGAACTTGACCTAGATATTTATCTGAAATACCTGTACACTAAATTTCATTTCAATATGTGCAACCTCTGCAAAGAAAATGAACGGAAACTGCAAATAAGTGGAATTTTTATAAGTCCAAGGGGCATTACTCTAACAAAAATGGTGCAGTCGTACCCAAAACATAATTTGACTTAGATATTTAGTTCATAAATCTGTATACCAAATTTCATTTCAATATGTGCAACCCCTGCAAAGAAAATGAACGGAAACTGCAAATAAATGGAATTTTTCTAAGTCCAAGGGGCATAACTCTAACAAAAAGGAAGTGATTGTACTCAAAACAGAATTTGACCTAGATATTTATCTGAAATACCTGTATACTAAATTTCATTTCAATATGTGCAACCCCTGCGAAGAAAATGAATGGAAACTGCAAATACATGTAAGTGGAATTTTTCCAAGTCCAAGGGGCATAACTCTGTCAAAAATGGGGCGATCGTACCCAAAACAGAACTTGATCTAGATATTTACCTGATAAACCTGTATACCAAATTTTATTTCAGTATGTGCAACGGTTGTGAAGAAAATGAATGGAAACTAAATGGACCGACAGACCGACCGACAGACCGACGGACATCAGCAAAGCAATATGCCCTCCCTTCTTCGAAGGGGGGCATAAATATTTTAACACCTTATTATTTTGAATTCTAGGATATTGTGAAGTTTAAAATTGAATTCTTGGAGATTTGAGATAATCAGGTTTGACTGTATGTAGTAGCTACCTGCTGCTTTATATGAAGCTGTCTGGATCTCGATCTCTTCACTGTTTAGAGTAATGCTGTTTGTGCTGGAAATGACCTAGTGTGCAAAAGAAAAATCAATGTTATTCAGAGCTTTAATTATAACATAAGGACTCAGATGGCAACAGGTTGTTTTACTTTAGTTTACCAACAGAACTTAACTAGAAAACTGACTAGTCAGCAAGGGCCCCGCTGAAGGGTAGAAATATAAGGGTGCAGCTCATTGAATGAGAGTTTTACTTGATTACATTTTTTTTCAATATATGAAGATTATAAGTAACAACTGTATTTTTAAAATTTCAAGATAATTCCTGAATGTCCAAAAAGCTGTAAATAGTAACCTTGTATTTACATAAAACACGGAAAACCTCTTGTCTTATAAAAAAAAAACTAAATTAAATGTGTATTTAAAAAAGATTTAAGCAGGTGTTTTATAAAATGCAATCCCTCAGTGAATGCAAATATCACCCAGGGTTGACCTCAACTTCAAAACAAACATCAGTTGCAGACAAAGGTGTTCATTAATATTCATGTGACAGATAAAGATAAGCCTCTAAATTTTCTGCAGCAAGCAAGATAATTAATCCCAGGGGATTAATTGTACTGCTCTCTCATCCTTTTCTTCTAAATTTACAATAAAAACTTTTTTCAGCACTGACAGAATGGGGTTATTATCTGATTACCTGTTAAAATTAACAGCATTAAGGCAGCCAAAAAAAAAAAATACCGGTAATTAAAAAAATAAAGTAGTTATAATAAATAAAGATATCTTAATATACAATATATATATCTTGATTTTAGAATTCAATAAAATTATCATAAATCATTGTGTACGGTATTTTAACCAAAATAAAGTATGAACATTATTTCAAATCCATATTTCAGAGAATGTACACATCATTCAAAATTGACCTTAACTTCAAAACAAAGTTCATTTGCAGACAGAGGCGGTACAGTAATTAATCTCAATGTGACAGATAAAGATAATGCTTAAGATTTTCTTCATGTGGAAGGTGAATTAATCCCAAAGGACAATTGCACAGCCTTCCCAGTTTACAATGGCAACATTTCTAGGAGTTACCTCTCTTTGCCCATTCACTATTATGCATAGTTAAGGCATCTACCCCACCACCCCAGCTCCAAACCAGAAGACATAGAGAACCAAACTTAGCATCAAAATATGTATTTCTGCCTACTGAACAACCATACCAAATTTGAACTTGATTGGTCAACCATAAAAAAAGTTATTAGAAAAAAACAGAAAATTTGTGGACGGAAGAATGACAGACGGACAGACGGACAGACAGAGTGATTACTATAGGGCACCCGCAAATCCTTGCGGGGCCCTAATAAAATGTTTTAGAAAAACTGCATTAATCACATATGTTGAAACATCTGAATAGAAAGTATCTTGCAGTTAAAAGGAAATAAATGTACATGTATAAATGTGCAATAATGATTTCTCCCTCTCCTCCCAAATTTTTAAGTCATTAATAAATCACTTAAGAAAACAAAATAATTATTACAGTCATTGACAAGCATGTTATACTTAAAAAGTCTAAATCTTAATTGTTAAGAAATTCCTACTAATTCACAATGTTTATCAACTGCTTATAAAATGATACTGTTGGAAGCATATCTACAATGTATTTTCATTTCTTCTGAGGTTCCATAATTAATCTTTTGAGTACTTATAAGACAATTAAGTTATTAGTTTGAGTTTTTTTTTTTTCTTTCACACTTCTCTTAAGAATTTTGTGGAAGGCTGCAAATCTGACAGTGACAAACATTAGTCAGATCCTTACGGTTCTCAATGTCAGAATACTGCATTTAATGACTTTCAAGCCATAAAGATTTTCAAAATGATGAAGCAAAATTGTATATTTGATATGTACAAAAATCTAATCACTTTTGTTTACTTGACTCAGTGTAATGTGTATTTTAATAAAGAAAATTAATTTCTGGGTTTTTTTTTTTTCTAAAGCATACATTGAATACTGAAGTGTTTTAAGCTGACTTCCATAGAAGCTAGGCCTCTTCCCTTCACCCTGTTTACATCTTACAAATTTAAAGGTTTATTGCATACACAGTAATTCATATAGCCAGCATATTGATAACATAACTCAACTTAGGTAAACAATGCTATTCATGCAACTGAATTATTGTGTTAAAAGTAGTATCATGTCCCTGGCCTATTTCTTGTGACATTTCTCGTATATTTACAATCTCTGTTATCTTGACAGTTAGGTAACCTGCGTTAACAAATAGCCTGATGATGGGTGAAGTAAGTTTATTAAAAAATTTTACTTTAAAATTAAATGCACAGACAAAGTCATGGGAAAACATAACCAAGCCAGTTAGGTAAAGACCTAACAAAAATATAAACTACAGCTTCAAGAAAAAAAATAATTATTGCATTTAAACTTCAACAGCTGTTCAAGATATTGATTAAAATGATTCATATTCACTTTAAAACTTTAACTCTCTTTCAAGCTTTGATTCTTTTGTAAAAATTTTCTTCATGTGCATTTTTGTGATGAAAATTTTATCATAATTATTTTCGTCAATTATTGGTACTTAATTAAGTTGGCCTCAATAGAATTTGGTTTACATGGTTTAGACATTAAACATATGACATGGTGAGATCTTACATATTGCATATACACGCTTCAGTTAAATACTTTGAATGAAATAAATTGACACTTAGAATTATGCAACTTTAAACATTTAACAATATGGTGTTATTTCAATGACTTATAATTTAAATCATTCATTTAAATCAGCCAGACACTATATCGATCATTTTTCATGTTCAAGGCTGCTACTTCAAGCTTCATACAATTATACAAATTTGAAATTATTCAGATTCACCCAATATATATACACTCTTGAACTTCAAGATGTACTACTAATTCCATTTCCTAAAAGTATACTTTTTTCCCTTTTACTGTAACAAATGACAATTTAACAACATTTCACAAGTTCCCCCTGAACAGATTTTAAAAGATTTATACCTTGACATCAATGGTTTCATGTCCTTTGAAGGTGAATTTTTGTAGATCTGGTTGAAGACGTAGGTTGTAGTTCTCTGGTTTAACGTCTGTCGGTAATCTCTTGAATTCTTTCTTCGCCGGCATTGTACAAAATGT